GCCTCCCTCACCCCATTCCCCCTCTACCCAGCCCCCCTCACCCCACCTCCCTCGCATGTTAGTGATGGGACATGGATGAAGGCCTCGGGCCCACACGCTGTGTAACACACGTCGGTCCTTGGCTCCGCCACAGACGCAGTGAGGCGCCTGCGCTCAAGTGCCGCTCCCAGGACTCGCTGGGCCTCTAGTGGGGACGCGGCCCCCCGGCGCCAGCTCCCAGCGCGGTGGCTGCTGCCGTCCGTTTTTGACAGTTGACTAATCGCTAAACTGCCTCAATGATCTTGTTTTCCACAGTGAGGAGTTTAATTAAAACCAAGTACAGGTTGTGAAAAGGTTGTTTATGAAAATGCATTTTAAATGTGAATTGAAAAGCCTAGGGATAACTTTTATATTTTAGATAAAAAGATGAAAGTCCTGTGACTTTTCCCACCCGTTTTACCAGAAGCAAGGCGGGGAGCGGGCGGCGGCTCTCTCGAGACGCCATCAGGAGCTTCTCAGTCAGCGCCTTCCTCAGTTGCTGGACAAGTTGACCTATTTTAGAAATGTCAAACTTTCGGAAACATTTCCGATTTTAAATTCATGATTCTGGAGGGCGTTTTTTCTTCTTCTTCTTCTTCTTGCTTTAAACAAAAGCAGTTTTGAACAGCGCTTTTTACTAAGGAAGCGAGGAGCTAGAAGAGACAGTGTGCAAAGACGCGGGAGGCGAGTCCACCCCATAACCGGCCATCACTCCCGGGGGGTCGTGGGGGCGGGGGCGGGGCTCCCTGGGCTCCTGGGCGTTTGTGTGGCCTCATGGACTCGGCGCCTGGCCTTGGCGTGGTGGGACCCCGGGGGAGCAGGGCACCCCGCTTGGGTGACCCCAGCCCCTGTGTGCTCGCGTGCACAGGCGGTCACTGTGAACACACCCTCTTCGGGGCGCTCATCTCAGCGATGGGCCCCTCCCTCATTTGGCCTACTCCCTCATCACGCGTGATGAGGTCACGCGTGATGACCTCACCAAGGGCCATGCCTGCTTGTCCACCAGGTCCGGCCCAGAGCAGCTGCTCCGTGCTGATTTCCTGGTGCAGAAACGGAAGTCCCCCGTGGTTGGCCTGGTGCAGGCTACTAGGGAAGCCAGAAGCCCGCGGCGTCGCTGCTGTGGGGCTGTGGAGACACTCTGTGGTGTAGATGTTGAGACCGGCAGGACCGACCGGGGCTGCCGTGCGTGGCGGGAAGCCCGGAGCCTGCGGGCAGGTTGCTCACGGGCCGGCGGTGGGGGCTGCCCGTGGGCGGCCATCAGCTGTCCTCACAGCACCACTCTGGCCGGCTGTGTGGGCCGGGCCGCCTGCGTTGTGCAGAACAGGCGAGGCTCCTGCAAGAGAGGTGCAGGTTAACGGGAAGCCGCGTTGCCCGGTGGGCGCCATCAGTGGGGACAGGCCGCTCGCCCTCCGGACGTCCTTAGGTGTGGACCGTCCCAGGGGCCAGCCAGCGGGAGTATCCTGGGCCCAGGCCAGCCCGACGCCTGCTCGCGCCTCGGCGGTGGCCTCCGTGTCGCCGGCCTGCGAGC